GGAGGGCGGGGTCAGGGCCCACGGGCAGGGCGGGGCCAAAGTTGAGGTAGGTCGGGGTTCAGCGAAGGGAAAGAAATTCTCTTATACTCAGTCTGGTTTAAGGAGAATAAAACTGAGAATATATATTTTTCTTTATTGATTTGAAAGAGAAAGAAACATCGATTTGTTGTTGCACTTAGTTATGCATTTATTAGTTGAATCTTGTACGTGCCCTACCCGGGATGGAACCCGAAACCTTGGCTTATAGGGCCTCCTTAGCTACCCAACCCAAAAAAAACTGACTTAGAAAAAAACAAACACTGATCCTGCCCTCACTCCCTCCCTGCCCTGCTGGCTGTCCCTCCACAGGTCCAGGACTCCAGGAAGCCCCATCTTCACAGCTAAGACCCTCCCACCCCCACCCCTAGCTGCTCCCTTTCCCGATTCAAATCCCACTCACCTGTCCCCTCAGGTTCTGGGTAAGGTCGTCATGTTCCCTCGCCCACTTCCTCCTTCGTCCTGGGCCATGGAACCCCAGCTCTGGTCTCCCCATTTACTGGCTGGCTGCCCCTCTTCCTCCGCAGAAGTCGGACGTTTGCTCTGTCTTCTAGACCCCGGTCTTCTCACTGTAAACCACGCTCCCCGAATCTACCCACCCGTTTCCTTAAAGGGGACCTCGCCAGGCCAAGTCGGGAGCCCCCGACCCCGCGCCCGGTGTGAGTCAGTCTGTGCGGGGCATCGTGACCCCGAATAAACCACCCAACCCCTCATCGCCCCCCTCCCCCGATCGCTCAGTGGGCGACGCCCGCCCTCCGAGAGTCCTCCTTGAGGATAGGGCGCCCCTCTACCCTTCTCCCGGGCCCCGCCCACTGGACGACCTGGTGGCCGGAGAGCTGCCTGCAGGAACGGTAACTCCAGTGCGCCTGTGCAGAGGCCCGGGCGGCGGGGTAGGACTACATGTCCCAGTGTGCACTTTGCTTGCGGCCGCGGCGCCTGCCCGGAAGTTAAAGTGGCTTTCGGCCCCGCCCCGGAAGATAAGGCCGCTCTCGGGCGCCCAGGAGCCTCTTTCCGCCGCGCTAGGCAGAAGGTAAGTTGTGTTTTTGCCCCGGCGGCTCTGCTGATATCCGCCGCCATCCGCCGTTCTCCCGCTCCCTGAGGCCCGCGAAGGACCTAGGCTGGCTTCTGAGATGACTCCCGGGTGCACGGCTGGGGGTGGTGGCACGAAGGGGGGCCAGGAACTGGATAATGGGTCCTGGAGAAAAGGATCCCTAAAGCCGGGTGGCGGGCGTGCCTGGCCCCCCCACTCCCGGCGCTGACTATGAGGTTCCCCCAGACTGTCGTCATGGGCCGCGTGATTCGTGGGCAGAGGAAAGGCGCCGGCTCCGTGTTCCGCGCGCACGTGAAACACCGCAAGGGCGCCGCGCGTCTTCGCGCCGTGGACTTCGCGGAGCGACACGGCTACATCAAGGGCATCGTGAAGGTGCAGGGAGCAGGCCGAAAAAACGCCCGGACCCCACGCTCACGCCGCCTCGGCCCGCAGGATATCATCCATGACCCAGGCCGCGGCGCGCCTCTGGCCAAGGTGGTCTTCCGGGATCCGTACCGTTTTAAGAAGCGGACGGAGCTGTTCATTGCTGCCGAAGGCATCCACACCGGCCAGTTCGTGTACTGCGGCAAGAAGGGTAAGCGTCATGCTTCGATGGGAGGACGGGGTCCCATGAGGGAGGTGCACCTCCTAGGTCGGTAGGGGAGGCCTCCAGGAAGAAGCCTCACAGAGTGATTCCTGCTGGCCGAACATAACCTGTGCACTGGCTATTTTGGGGTGTTGTGAGGAGGGAGTGGATTTGCGTTGGCTCTGGCCAGCGGTCGGACACTATCTGGCCCGTCGGCGTGGCTCAGGTTGAGTCCAGGAGGTCACCGTTTGGTTTCTGGTTGGGGCACTTGCTGGGTTGTAGTCTCATCCCTAGTGGGGGGAGGCAGCTGAAGAATGATTCTCATTGATGTTTTTCTCCCTTCCTCCCTGAAATCAATAAAAATGTTTTTGTGTTTTTTTTAATACCATCTCTCCATTCTGACTGTTCCTGGTTGCTCTCCCTTGCAGCTCAGCTGAACATTGGCAATGTGCTCCCGGTGGGCACCATGCCTGAGGGCACCATCGTGTGTTGCCTGGAGGAGAAGCCTGGTGATCGGGGCAAGTTGGCCCGGGCCTCTGGGAATTATGCCACGGTCATCTCCCACAACCCTGAGACCAAAAAGACGCGAGTGAAGCTGCCCTCGGGCTCCAAGAAGGTCATTTCCTCTGCCAACAGAGCTGTGGTCGGTGAGTGGCAGGCAACAGTTGAATGCTTTGGGTCGCTTGTGAGCAGCTAGCAAGCGGGTAAACCTGGGCCCTGGAACCTCACTTCCCACTCCAATAAAATGTAGGCTCTGTACGCTTGAGTAGATGCATAGTTTTTCAGTCGTAATATTTGAAAAGTGGGCACAGCGGTACCTACTTCATCCCAGGGTGGTAGTTGAAGGAGACCAGGTTTAATCTACTGGACTTGTCTGCGTTCTCACATAACCTGGATTTGTTTGGTTCCTGCCCTTACCTTCACCTGCTAGCAGTCTTTTCAGAGATGTCTGATTTCCTTGAAATTACCCAGTATGTGCATTAAAAAGGATCTATACCCAGGTTTGTTCACTTTGCTGTTTGACAACGCTTTCAAGTCCTGTGGCAAAGCTGGCCAAGATATGGCATGGTGGCTCAGCCATCACATTGGGGTTCAAAGGTTGAGTGACCTGCCCATGTCAGACATGGTGCGGGGAGGGCTTCCCTGGAGAACCCTGGATTGAGATAGGCATTCCAGTTGACATGGTATGGGTAAATGTGTGGCTTGGTATCCCATGGAGCCTGAAGAAACTTGCTGTCAGTTACAGGCTGCAAGGGGGCTTACTGCTGGGTGGTATTTGCCAAGTGTTGCTGGCACTTCTGTGAATTTTGTGATGCTGTATGACAGTACAGAGAGAAGGTGATTGGTGCAGGCGGTGGGGTGCTGAGAAGGACCCAGCAGGGTATATTCTGTCTGATGGGAGAATGTGATGCACTTTCTGAATTGCCTAATATCCTCAACAGGTGTGGTGGCTGGAGGTGGCCGCATTGACAAGCCCATCCTGAAGGCTGGGCGTGCCTACCACAAATATAAAGCAAAGAGAAATTGCTGGCCACGTGTGCGGGGTGTGGCCATGAACGTAAGTAGCCCAGTAGTAGGCAGTGGGGAGTATTCAGGATACAGGGCCTGAGGCTGGATGGGCAGGTCCTTTGGAATCTCCCCTCAGGTGGGGGATTTGGGTGACGATTCATAGGTATAGGCCTCTTGATCCAGGCCTTCCGTTAGATTGGGACCACCCCCACATTAACACTACCTCCCTTTGTCTGCAGCCTGTAGAGCATCCATTTGGAGGTGGCAACCACCAGCACATCGGCAAACCCTCCACCATCCGCAGAGATGCCCCTGCTGGCCGAAAAGTGGGTCTCATTGCCGCTCGCCGGACTGGGCGTCTACGGGGAACTAAGACTGTACAGGAGAAAGAGAACTAGGGCAGGGGGCTCAATAAAGTTTGTTTTCCTGCACTAAGCTGTTCTGCCTGTAGTTTCAGAGGGAAGTGTTCTGCTGGGAGGACCACTGATTAGAGGCAGCTCAAGTGGAGGTGGGGGTGCTTGATCCAATCACACCTTCCTTCCTGGAATCCCACCAGCATCACACACATGCACCTGTGTGCTGAGCACTGGGAGAAAGTAGGTGTGGATGTCAACCCACAGCTAGAACTCTCCTGTGATGACGGAGTTTCTTAGAACAAATGAACTTCCTGATTGGCCACAGCTAATGACACCTTTTCCCACATTGTCTGACAGTTCTGTCAAAGGTGGCTGAAGCAGGGCAGAGGCTGCTAAGCGGGCATCAAAGTGAGACCCTAACCCATCAGCCATTAGAACTAGGACACTCCCAAGAATCTTGCTCACAGTGTTCCCTTGTGAGCCAGTGAAAAGTGCAGCAGGGCACTAACCAGACAGGTGCACTGGCTGGCACTCCATGATGACCACCTACCTGAGCTCTGGTCACCTCAGCGGTTCTGTGGGCTGCAGGGACCGAATGGAAGATAAGGCCTTCCTGTGACTGCCAGGTGGCTCCTTGCTCTCAGGGATCAGACCCATCTTTAGTGTTGACCTTGCCCCCAGTTGTCAGCCTTGCCTTCCCTGGCCCAACCTGCCCTTGGCCTTGGGCAGTCACCCAGCAGGGCTAGCATTCTCTTGTGCAGAGAAACACCTGAAGGGAGGAGCATGAGTCTTGGTTACCCAGACAGTTAAGTGACCTGCTGCAGCATGGCTGCTCCTGATAAAGTTACTAGGGGCCTTGGCCAAGAGACTGGCTATCAAGAAGGGATGCTGCAGAAGCTGTCTGGTGCTGGGGGAAGTCCTTTGTCTAGTTAGAGTGGACACGGCCCATTTAGAGGGGTTGACCTTGACCCATAAGCATCCTCTTGAACTTCCTGGGTGATCTCATCGTCCCTGTGACCGGTACGGTTCTCTGCCTTCTGTAAAAGAAAGGTCTGGTCTTCGCTTGGTTGTAGCACCTTTAGCAGCTCACTAGAGGGTTTCACTGAAAGAGAATTGCTGTAAAATAGTCTTGGAAATTGGTCCACAAAGCCCCACTCTTGCCTCGGTTCTGAACACTCCCAACTGCCACCCGGTGGCAGCATCCTGACTTGTTGCCGTTCCTGGAGGACTCCAGCCACCGAGATGTGGGACCCTTTTCCCAGAGCGGCCAGGGCGCGGGGGGCGGGGCTTGCATCACTTCCGGAGGGCTTCAATTGGCGGGGCGGGCGGTGGGCGGTGCCTTCTCAGGCCTCTGATCCTCGGCTGCAGGGGGCGGGCCTCCCTGGCGCGAACCTCCCCTCGCTACCGCCTCGGGGTCGGCCACCTCGCCCGCGTTTGGCTCCCAAACCCTGACCAGCCTCTCCCGGCCCGGCGTCCCCTCTGCGTCCAGGGCCCGCGTCGTCCTCGCCGACGGTTACCCGCCCCCAGCGAAGCCGGCCTTCCCCTTGCGAAGCTTCCCCCTCCGCCCGGGTCCTTCAGGTGCAAGGTCTCCGCCTTCCCTTTGTCCTTATGGCCTCCAGCTCCGGGCATTTAATGTCAACACACCTCCTGTCCACGGCCGCTGCCCTCCGTGCGCCTCCACTGACCCCGTGCGCTCCCATTGCCACGTCTCCCTACTGCCCCCCATGGGCCCCACTGCCGCCCGCAGGCAGCCCCCAAACCCGTCTGGGGCACCGCCTCCTTCCCCAGTCCGCCTGGCATCCGGCAGCCACATTCCTGTTTCTCTTCTTTGTTTGCTTCATGGTTTTGAGCATGTGTGTGTGTATGTGTGTGTGTGTGTAATTTTAGAGAGAGAAAGGGAGAGGGATGGAGAGAGAAGCATCAGTGAGCTGCCTCCTGCATGCCCCCTACTGGGGATCAAACCTGCAACTCCCGTTTCATGGGTTGACACCCAACAACAGCCACACCCACTGAGTGGCTGCTTGTCTTTTAATTTTGTGGTATCTCGTATAGAAGTTTTTCTGATGGAGTGAAATTGAACATTTCTCTAATGGCTATAAGCATTTTTGAAAATACGTAGGTTTTCGGTCTGAAATATATTTTTGTGAGCTAACTTGGTTTTTCTGTGGAAACTGATTG